ATTCCGGCTCGGAGACGGCCGTCGTCGGCAGCGTCGACAAGGCGACGAGGAAGCGGGAGAAGAGGGAGATGCTCGCCAAGAAGAAGCAGAAGCGCCAGGGGGCTAGGCCGGAGGGTGCTGAGGCGCCGGCGGCCGATCAAGTTGTCACGGACGTGGTGTAGGGTTAGACTTGATGTTTGATACCCGCGAAATGACAGAAGACGTTGCCCGCGATGTGGTTTTCCGCCACGAGCTTTCGTGCCTGTGAACGGGGAGGCTTTGCGTATTGTGGTTTACTTATGCATGACAATTTTCAGTCGGGCCATTTCAACGCTTCAAATTTGACTGTCCAATTGCAAGGCTGGGGTATAGAATGCAGAGATACAACCATACGCAAAACGATGCTGCTAAATCTCAATACTATCACAGGCGTCTGAATCATTTCCACGTATCGTCCCCCCAATCTCCGCCTGAGTAATCTGCAGCAGGTCGCTTCGTCCATTTGCTATTGCCCCTTTGTGGTGGTGGCGGCTGTGTAGACGATCCTGGTACCCCAACGTGTTGATGATTCGATGCGATGTGCGGCGAGGGAGCCAACTGTCCCGCCGCAGCCGGCTGCTGGGCAACCTGCGGCTGTGAGATCTCTTGCCGCACTTGCTGTGCCGGGAAGTACCCTTGGGACTCCTCTGACCACACCAGACTCGGCCCAGCATTTGCCCTTGGTTGTTGTTGTTGTTGTGGAGACTGTTGTAAGGGCGCCGTCGTCGCTCTCTGCACGGTGATGAGCTGCGGCTTCATGATGGGCTGCGCATAGGCCTCGGCGATATCCACCGTCGAGATCGAAGCCGCGTAGCTCGATGCTACCGACGCTTGTCGATCCAGTAAGGGAGCGTAGGAGTGCGACGAGGTGCGTGACAGATCCGATTCAGCAGCAGCAAGCGCTTGTGGATACGCCGCCTCTGTTTTTAGAGATGTGGGAGGGACAACCGATGACTCTCTGATGGTGTCTGAAGATGATCGAACCAAGAGGCCCTGCGGATCAGGAACTCGCATTTGAGTTAAGGCGGGCAAGCCGGCCGTATGCGCGTCGACGCCCCGAATGGGACCTGGCTGTGACCGCACGGCGCTTTGCTGGCTGTGGGGAGTCTGCCCAATGGCTTGTGCATTAAACGGCATCTTCTGGTGATGCTGGGGCAACATTTCCTCGGAGCGGCGTTGCGATTGCAGAGGCTGCTGCTGTGCCTGCTGGGGAGCAAACTGAAGGTGTTGCATCTGTGCAGCGGGATATGGCTGCTTCTGAAGAACGGCAGACTTTTGCGAGCCCTTCTTAAACTTGGAGAACCAGCCGCCCTTTTCCTTCTCCTTTTCTTTGTCCATTGCGGGCCCAACAACCCCTAGAGGACTCGAGTAAGATCTTTGATGGTGCTGGAGAGGAGGGGGTGGTTCCATCATCACATACTGCTGACTTCCCACTTTTGGCAATGTTCCTTGCGACTGCATCCCTGGCTTCGGAGCCGACAGTACAGTTGCGGTCTGACGTCCATAATCTGCTGTAGTGACTGGGCGAACTTGAGGCGGAGGTTGTTGCAGTACCGGAAGAGTAGTCGCAGCTCTGTCAAATTGGCCAGGCAGTGGTAGGGGAACGGGCAGTTGCCTAGATATAGGTATCACGGGTTGGGAAGACGAGCGGCCCTGATCGCTCTCTGGTTGCTCCTGGATTGGAAGAAGAGCGTGTCCCGGAGTTGACACCGATATCGACGCGTTCGAACGCGATGGCTGCTGCGCGTTTGTGCCCGCTAGGGGTCGTTGGGGTCGTTCAGATGGTCGCGTGGGCTCCATCGAGGTTATCTCAGGAGCAAAGGAGCCCCCTTGCCGAATACCACTGTCGTGTGTGGAAGGCTGAGAGTTTGACCTAGATCCCAAGCCAGGAATGGTCCAGTGAAATGGGGCAGATGGCGGATTCTGATCTTGAGGGTTGCCAAGAGGATGTGAGAGAGCGCCTTCACCAACAACTCCATGGGAACTGTAAGAGAGATCTAGATGCTGCTGGGGAGGTGACGTCTGCTCTTGTGGCATAGAGTGGCGACGAGTTGTTCCTTGGCGTTGCGGATCATTCGGCCGTCTCTGAAGAGATGCACTTGCGTTTGGTAGCTGTTGTCCTACGGGCCATTGTACATTCGCATTGCCGCTAGTTTGTGCTGCTGAGGAGGAAAGCACGGTGTTAACTTGATCGGTCTTATGCTCCAAGGGAATCTTGAGCGGAATCTTCGGAGGTTTTGGTGCGGTACCATCGGACGAATTCTGAGGAATGTGGGTGGGGGAAGATGATGATCCGGCGAAAGAAGCAGGCCGCGTGACAGGCTCCCGTACAAGGGGCGCGTAGGATGGAAAGGGCTCCATCGCCACGCCACTTAATGCTGAGGTTGGTTTCATGGAGCGTTCCTCCCCTAAATTCACGTCGGAGAAAAATCCTGATATGTTGGATGACCGGCGCTGAAGGCTGTCAGGGGGGGATGGTGTCTGAAGGTTGCTTATCGATGATTGGCGACTGGATGATGGTCCGAGGGATGAGACGTCGCTGGACGCGAATGATTGCTGTCGCGGTAGCCTTCCTTGGGGTGACGAGACCACTTGGCGTTGGTACGCCAGCGACTCGGAGGACCAGTTGCGACTTTGTGACGGTTCGTAGGACCTTGGAGGCTGCGGGGATGGTGTGCTAAAGTCATTTGTGCAGGAAGTGCTAGATGAAGGTGGTGACTGTAGTTGCTGACCAGGAGGCGCCGTGCTCACTCTCTGAACCCATGGCCGTGGCCCCAAAGCTGGTTGCGGATCAACGTCCATTGTCGTCGTATGGTGGATTTGACCAATACGCGGTGGGTTGTCCGTATGACCTCGTTGGTTTTCAGTGCTGCTCCGCTCTACCATCTTGCCTCGCGCGGGTTTCAACACGGAGGGCACATGGCTCAATGAGATTGCGGCAGCTCTTTCCGATGATGCTCCACTCTCGTTCGTCTGGGCTCGCGTCTGCTCGCGGGCGGCAAATGCGATGTGATGAGGCACAGTGTTGCTGCCAACAGGGGCTTGTGAGGGGTGTGATCGAGGCTGCTCCTCAACTTTTGGAGGTAGCTGCGGAGGCTGGAGCACAGTTGGTACATTTTCGGACTGGACCCTTGCCGGCTCGCGTGGCCCTAACATCAGCGATCCTTCGCGAATCAAAGAGACACGGCGATCTTGGCTTTGGGAGCTGGGTGTTCTCTGCTCAAGATGGGGGCGCTCGGCAGTACTAGCGGCCACTGGAGGCGCGTATGGGTGATACTTGGAACTTGATGTCGCAGCGTTTGTCGGCTTCCTGGTGATCTTGAAGGG